CAGCAGCAATGCATGACGTGAATAAGAAATGGAGGGGGGGAAAAAGCAGCTCCCTTTTGTTGCTGAGCGGGGAGCAATGATGCAATGACCGACTGGATAAGTTCAGTACTGAGGTTACAAAATAGAGCGAGGGATGATTCGAAAACACCTGCGCTCATTCTTTTCAAAAAAAAAAAATGCATTATTCAAGAGCACAATCTTGGCAGAGCTCATGACCTGATTTTATTTTTTCACTGTATTCGCATCAATGAGGAGATGACGCAGGATATTTTAATCGATTTTAAACTTGGAGAATGAAACATGAATGAGGTTTGGACCTGAAAAAAAATCGTTATAGAGAGAATTTCCTTGTCGGGAACACATGCAGCATGAGGAAGAGAGAACCCTGTGGTACCAAAAAAAAAAATGGTTGTGCAGAGAAAATTGTTGTACTGTACACAAGATCATTGTAGAGAGAGTCCATCTGTATTTAATTTTTTGTATAGTCCTGGGAAAGTTTGGCATAGAAGTAAACATGTACTGTACAGTGGACCCTCGGTTAACAAAACACTCAGTTAACAAACTTTTGGGTTTGAAGAAAAATCTTACAGAACAATCTAAAATTTGGCAAAAAATCTTCTTTTCTGGGGATAATACCAGCTTTGAAAAATTCTAAATTTGATTTCAAGGCTGAAATTTATGGTACAATCTAGAGTTCAATTAATTCACCAATGCAATGATGTGATAAGTCTTCAGTTCTGGCACTCAAATATGTGTAATCTTGTGTCTTAAAACGTATTTCAGCTGCATTAATCATGCATGCTTTTTTGTGACAAAATTATTTGCTTTTCTGTGCTTGGTTTTTCTATTTTTTCAATTGTTAGAAATGTCGATTTGATGTTTAGTTGCAGCAAAAAAAAAAAAGAATTTCTTTTTCACCCCTGACATGTATCCTTCAGTGTGTATTTCCCTGAATTTGAAGCTTTTTTTTTATTGTTTTCATGAGTGGTACTTCCTTATAAGACTGTAAAAACGCTCTCAGATATGGTAAGATTTAGCAATAACTTATTCTGATTATAGTTGATGGTCTTGGATTTTTTTTTCAATGTTGCATTATATTTTGGGTTCATGGAAATGATTAATTTTTTCCCCCATTTAAGTCTGCGAAAAATGGAATTTGGTTGACAAACTTTTGTCTGGAACCCATCAAGCTTATTAACCAAGGGTCCACTGTATAGTGTAAAATTTCTAAAATTTGCAATCCAGGTTTCACAGCAAGTCTTGTGCCAAAATTTGCATGATTTTATAAATATATGCAAAAATGGCGAAAAATCACAATGATACGTCCTCCAATCTATGTTATCAAATCATTTAAAAAATTTTCAACTATTCCTAATATCAACCCTGCGCCTTAAAAGATAATTGAAACTTTTGAAATGAACTTTGTATGTGCAGCATAACTCAGACTCAGTTCCGGAAATGCGTAGTCACGATTTTATTCTCTTTCTCATTATGGCGTCAGGATCGAGCGATTGTATATATGGATGCCTGTGCCTATCGGACGTTAACCCGAAAAAAAAATCCCATGTAAGTTTTCAAAATGGGGTTTCTTCGTGACAATTTCAGTTGATTACGATGAGGGAAACCCTGCACTTTTTACGGTATGCGAATTGAAGAGTCGGAGATCAATTTGTGGTTATTACGGGGAATTTATTTGTTGAAGAGGGGTTTTATCATCGGTTGCTGAAGTTATGAGGCGTTCGCTTCAGTTACTGTATTTTAGGAATTCATTTGGTAGACTTTCAAGTTGATTCACTTCAAAAATCGTGTGAGAATAAGGTCAAAATGTTTGACAATCATTGGCTCGGATTCGTCGGCATCATTTATTAATATTCCCGTATTTTTTTCATGGAGTATTTTTGTACCAAAATGCGCAAATGGAAAATTTCAGACCTGATAGCAAATTTTTACTTTCTAACGGTTTTCCCATTCTTGTTCGTAAATTTTCAGAAAAAATAATCTTCTAAAAATTTTTTGGAAAGAATCTGCGAAAATCTGCTGGCAGGTACTGTAAATTGTTCCTCGAATTACGAAACTTATTTTTTTCCAGCGGATGAGAGAAAACATACGGAATAAAATTCTAATTAAACCTCCCAAAGTCAAATACGATACTTCCCTGTGTTGAATTTTTTTTTTCAAGTCCCTATCTGAATTTCTTCAGAAACGATGCATTAAAAACCCTACCCAATTCGAAGGCTTTCCACATCAAACCTCCTGAACTTGAATTTTCTGGAAGCTTTTGGGCAATTAAACCATTGACACAGGAAAGAAAAAATCAATTTGAAAGAACTTGGATTTTTGCTTTGAAAGAAAGTAAAGGACTAATTGGAATAATAAACCCTTGTCTCGGAGTTCAGCATCCTGTCAACGCATTTAAGAAACAATCCAAGGCCAATAATCAATTAATATAAAATAAAAAAAAGATTTTTTCCCTTCCTCGATTTTTTTTTTACGATCCCTTATAAAGTTCGACGTGAAGAGGTTCAGCTGTAAAATAAGCAGAAAATCGTGTTTCCCTTCAAGTGAAAATGGCGAAGAAAAGATAATCTGCTCTTCCCTCCAATATAAGCAATTGCAATACGTGTCACAACACATCCGCTCAATATGCAAACAGAAGAGAACAGTACTTTACTCACGTAAAAAAAAAAAATAATAAATCTCCTTCGGGATAAGCAGTAGGAAAAGCAATCAGATTTGGGAAACATCGGTCGAGTGGGGCATGCATAAAAGAGTGCCCTCTCGGTTTGCTGGGAATATGTTCTGGCATTTACAATCGATCAGAAGACCAAAAACAGTGACAGGGCCTGTTGGAAAGCGTGTGTGTGTGTGTGGGGGGGGGGGGGGG